TCCCACAAAAAGTATGTTATTTGGTCAGAACTTGAGAAATGGTTTTACCCTCCCTCATATATATATATATATATATATATATGTGTATGTGTGTGTGTGTGTGTGTGTGTGTGTGTGTGTGTGTGTGTGTGTAGAGAGAGCGAGCGAGAAATAAATAAATCCATATATCTCTATGTTCATATTTACTCGGATATTAGCTTCTAAACAGATGTTAGGAACAAAATTACACGCCTCTCTGTACACGTAAGATTTAAATGAAATTAATTCTCCAAGGCGTAAACAGACTAACCTATTTTCTGTATTTTTCCTTTGCAAAATATGTTTGCAGGCATACATGTACACCGTACGACATACGCACAAGCACATATATGAATCAATGCTGTAATGTAAAACATATATGCATGTACGGTCATATATATATATATATATATATATATATATATATATATATATATGTATGTATGTGTGTGTGTGTGTGTGTGTGTGTGTGTGTGTGTGTGTGTGTGTGTGTGTGTGTGTGCAGTCAACTTATTATTATTTTATTGGCAGAAAGTTTTTTTTTCCAGATACAACGAATCATTTTGGGGCTCTCATGGACCTGGTATGTCTATGAAGACGACTTTTATATTCTAAAAAGAAATTTACTTATACGTGACCTGTGTGTCTGTGTGTGTGTATATTTGAGAGAGAGAGAAAGAGAGAGAGAGAGCGATAGAGAGAAAGGGGGAGAGAGTGTGTAAATGATGACAAAACGGAAAACTTTGTAGTAACATATGTTTTGTTCTAAAAACAACTTTCGACATATTCATTTAATACAGTTCTGATTAAAAGAGAGAAAATGCAATAAAAGTGTACAAATTTCGGAATATTTTGCAATAACTTTACGTCTAGGATTATGCAACATATTTAATTTCCCTACAAAATTTTAATTAATACATCATGGGATAATTATAAATATTCAAAATAAACATAAATGTGATAAAAAGTTGAATTAAATAAATGAGGTTAATAAGGGATGTTCAAATTTAGTTGAAGATCTTTATATTCTTTACGTTTCCATACAACTGGAAATATGTTTCCTGATTTTTTTCCACTTTTCATATATCACAAACTGTTTTTTTTTCTAACGAATTTCCTTCACAAACACGAAACGCGTCATAATTTTTGCGCATTGTCATTTATTTGTCTACTAAGAGATTTTAATGCTGCTCTTGAGTCAATCAATTTAACACAAATCCACGGTGTCCCTTCTAATTATCCTCAGATTAAGGTCAAGAATACAGCAGTACTCTGGCAATCCAATTGCTAAAAGCGATTAAAAATTTTGGAGACCCTTCAATCAAACGATGCCCTTGTCGGTTGGTGTTTCAGATTACGCCAACTGCAAATCTGCCAATGAGGTACTTCCAGCAGCAAGGCCTTTGATCGGGAGGTTTTGAGGAGCGTGAAACCACCTCTTAATTACTGTTTTTCCTAGGTCCATTCTGACCCCAGGTGGCAACACCTGTTGGGTTCCAACTATCAGCAAATATTTAACCCCCAAACTGGGTTCAAAACACTATGAAAGTGTAAAAATAGATTTTAATAACAGCAATACATTTTTGAAAAAATATATATTTATATATTACTTAAACGTTATTTTTAATGGTTATCCTTATATTTATTTTCGTCTAACGTTCTGAATATTCGAGAAAACTTACAAAAAATATGCGGTCTCCAGCACGACTCGAACGTTCGATTCCCCACTCTTATCAAGGGAAATCGTCGTTAAATCCGACGTGCTTTGGACAGTTTCAGACACAAAGTGTGTCATTGATCAAACAAAGTTGAATAGCGCCTTATAAACGCAAATCTTTCTCAGACTCTCGAAATATTTATATATGCTCAGTTTCATATCCCAACGTAAACAAAGCAATTTCTAAAGAAGTGATGGATTTTTATTTATTAATCCGACAGATCATTGATTTTAGCGCCATTTTTTTGCAATCTGTCATTACGCTGTAATTCTCTTTATTAAAAATCTTTCAGAAATAAACTATATTTTTCTAAAAATTATTTGAGGAATATTAGTTGATTTAAAGTTGATTTAATCTGATTTGAAAAAAATATGAATTACTTAAAGTTAAAATATCGGAGAAATGCATTTTTAACACTGTAGCTGTTTATTTAAGGTGTTGACAGTTTTTCTACGGTGGATATATCTGTAAAAATTTCTTGAGGAATATAATGTGATCGCCCTTTTTAATTACCCATTAATCTTAAACATTTACGAAAATATTCTCCGCAATGTCATGTTCTATTGAGGTACTTTGGCTTTAGATTTAGTTATCGCTCTTATTTTCTAATGCCGTGTATGTCCATATAATGCCGTGTATGTCCGTATTTACAAAAATGGTTACGTTTATAAACACACAAAGAAATTCAAAATTCTTTTAAAATATTGGGATCGATGAATCATAGTATGCTTTTCTATTTATGATTATAAAATATAGGTTATGCTTAACAACAATATCAGCTAACCGCTACAAATTAATACTGAATTTTAAAAGATTAAGTACTTTCTAAGCTATTCTAATTAATTATTTTTTTAAATAAAGCAGTTCATCGAAAAAAATGTTTTTCTTAAACAATAGCGTCCATAATATATCTTATTCATAACAGAAATTACATGCTTTTCCAATTAAATAATGTCTTAGTTTTGTTACACTTTTTTATTTTACAATTCAGAACATATTTTCCGTCACTGGAGCTCCTGTTTTACAAAAATATTGATGACTTAAATTCTCCAAGTATTTCCAAGTATAACTAAAATAAACATTAAGTGCTAAAAAATTAAATTTCACAAAATTAAATAGAAGTGGGTGGGAAACAGATGTAAAAATATTTTTGCAAAAATTTTCTAAAGAAGAAACTTTTCTAAAATAATTTCATTCATTTGTAAATAAGTTCTGAAATTTTCATTAAAATCAAACAATTTTTATTTTTATTTTTTGCATGAATTGTTGCATGAAAGTTTGGAACGTTCTAAAAAGGATCAAAAATATAATTTAATAATCAAAAACAACCTTTGGTCTTTACTCTTAATAATAACATAAAGATTTTGACTAGATAACCTCCACTTTTTCGCGGGAAAACAGCATAGCGTAATAATGAAAAAGGCCACAAACTTAATAAAAATAAAGTATTATAGTCAAGGAATAAAGGATAAGTACTTCTTAAAATGACAAAAATTGAATTGTTTACTCCAAATTCATTGTATTGTACATGTATTAGCTAGGTACCTCCACCTTTTCGCGGAAAACAGTATAGCGTAAAGAAAAAGCCTACAAACTTAAAAAAATAAAGTTTTATCGTCAAAATGTTTATTTATTATTTCGATGTAAGACCAAAGTATTTTTTGATTATTTTTGTAATTTTTTAATCTTTTCTAAAACGTTCGAAATTTTGGTTAAAAATCTTGTTTTGTTTATGTCATCAGGGTGTCATCATTATAACATTGACTTTTTTGCGCTTTTTTTCCGTTGGAAACATATTGATTTGGAAATTTTTGTAAAAAGCCAATAATTGTCCGAAATTTTCAAGACTTATTCACAAATGAATGAAATTATTTTTGAAATTTTTTTTTAGAAATTTTTTTAAAATATTTTTTTTTACATATTTTACGTTTAAAATCGTGTAAAATTCTGTATTGGGCTATTTCCTGGATGTGATAAGTGGAAATGAAATTTACGAATCCAAAATTGTAAAGATTAATAAACATAGTTACACTATTCTATTTTTAAAATAAATTTTTATTTTTTATCTTTTCCTTAATTTGTTCCCTATTTTCATCTATGAAAGTCTAAACATAACATGAAACGGTCACGAGATATAAGAGTTTTGTCTCTTTAAAGAGAAATTAATTTAAGTAAATGTTATAGTATTTTAGTTTTTTTTTTTTTTTTTTGCGTAACGCATCTTCGTATGGTAAGTGAAAGTCAATCAATTGTTAGATAATTGCGGAAAATATGTAAAAATTACTAGGTAGTTAACCCCCCCAAAAAAAAATACGTTCACTTAGATTTCGTAAATTTTATATCAATTCTAGCCAGCCATACTAGCTGCCATCGCTTCGTCACTCAATCATCCATCAAACATCGCTTCAGATAAACACAGCCGATCAATAAAGAATGGTTGTATATTAAATTTTTATGCTATAATTAAGTAATATTTCTTTTAAATCAGATTAATTTAACTTTAAATTTTCTAATTATACTCACTCAAATAATGTGTCAGAAATATACATATTTTTTTTGAGCGGGGAAGAATTTTAAAATCGATAAATTTGTTGTTTACAAATTTCTTAAAATTAAGAAAATGACCGCTTTTAAGATAATTTTTAAGAAATCGAAATTAAATTTGACATTCCAATCGATATAATTTCTATCTGAAATACACCAGAATACTTACTGGAAATAATAAATTTAGGTATCTCCACTAATTAGCAAAAAATGAACATAAGGACAATATTTTATAGACAAAATTAAGTACCTCCTCTATTTCGGCATAAATTTTCGATACCTAGCGTTTAAAATGAATTTTTAAAAATGAAAAAACATTCTTGAAGATTTCATTTTAGCTTTAAAGCCAAATGATTAAATAAATGATAGTATTCTTATTAAATAAATGATATGTGCAACTCGACAAGATTCGAAGAGCGCATATTATTATTTACTAAGATTTTAGGTCGGTAGACGAAAATAAATAAATATACTGTTTAATAAATAAACGGAGCGTCTAATTATTAGCCTTTATAAGTAATGTTTAAAGTAATAAAACCTATAGAATTATTAATAAATAAAAATCTACCACTTCAGTGGAAAAAAATATAACACAAGACGATTTCGAAAAATGTCATTAAATACATTTCAAGAAAAATGTTATTTTCCCAGAAAATAATTTTTGTAAGTGTTGTTATTTTTTAGAAATAAATTGATATGCATGATGACGAATAATTCTGACTAGATAGATAGATAGATAGATAGATAGATAGATAGATAGATAGATAGATAGATAGATAGATAGATAGATAATGAAGAATAATGTAATGAATGATCTGACACTATATGACTGATTTCCTATTATTTTCGGTTGACTTCGTTTCCACTGATTCTCTCTAACTTACTGATTTATATATTCAGTTCTTTCTAAATATATCTTCTCTATCAAGTATCCAATTTTACCTCACACTCCCCGACTCTACAGTGAGTCCCTGACTTCACCAATAAAACTAGGTTAATACTGAACCAGAATAAATGAGGTACATATCCTTGACCGTTGATTCACCGCTCTTTTTAGGTCGATGGGTAAATAAAATGATTATTAAAAACATGCAGATAGGGTTTGTATAGTATACACATACGCAGAAACGCGACCATAAGCACCCCTCCAAACAACACACACCTGCGCCTGTCTGCAAGCACGCATATATTGTTTTCTATCACTTCGGAGGAAATTTGCATTTCGATAATCAGTATTTAATCATCAAACACATTTAATTAATTTCAGTAACTATTTTTGTAACATTATGAAGAAAATTCTTTCTTGCTTGATTACTACTTTTTTCACCATGTAACCTACACGATGCCTCTAATTTTGAGAAGAGACATTAACATTGCAAGATTTACTTCAACTATGGTAAAACGCAATGCGATAATTAATATAACGACTAGTTATTGTTTTGCAAAAAAGACAACCTTCTGTTTCCGTATGGGTCATATACTTGAAGAATGCTGTAAAATGGCTCGGATGAAACATCGTAGTAGTAGTAGTAGTAGTATTGACAGCAATAAAGCTTGAAATGAAATCAACATATGCGAGTTAATATATCGATATAAACATTTTACAAAAGTTGACAATAACCAATGAATGGTTATGGTTTCTGCAAGTTTGTCTTAAGAAATTCATGACCGAGCGATTTTTCAGAATTGCTTTCAGTTTCTTTTAAATTGGAGCATTTCTTTCTGATAACTACGAAAGCCCACCAGTCCACCCTCCACCCCGAAATGTAAGCGCTCCTTTTTTTGCCAGAGCCAAATTAGTCATAAGAAAAACTTTTGAAAGTATTCGAGGGAAGGTTTTTTTTTTTTTTTTTGGTTAATACTGAAATATTTTAAGACGTGCGTGATCTCTCTGTATCAATTATATATGGTTTCCAAATAGTAAAGATTTCGGCAATATTTAACTTAAAAAATCGTGTGTCAACAGGAAGATTATTCCCTTCAGACCGCTATTACACCGTTTTCGATTTGATTGTTTTTTACTTCTTCCATAATGTCTATTTAAAGGATATAAAAATATGCGCGCCTTTTATAAAGATTTCGTATCTACTATATAGAAATAAATTAAAAAATCTTTTTTATTAAAAATTTACAAAATTATCAAAATATGTAAACCAACGATAATACAAAATTTGCAGTAAAAATGAAAGACATTCTGTAATAGATACCGCCACAGACTTTCTAAAAAAAATATAATAATTTAGGTGGCTTCTTGAACTTAAATTTCGGTTCTGTTTGAAAAATAATGGCATAAAGCAAATCCGAAATGAAGAAAAATTATTGGTACATTTTTTCGTCACTCACCGCGACGCCTTTGTACACAAAAAATATAAGCAACAAAAAACTGTGACAAAAAAAGATTCGGAAGGTTTATTTGGATCGTGTTACAGCTCTTCGAATGGTCAAAAGTGCTTTGACAGATTTTATCATGATGATTTTGACCTACATGATCAACCACACTCAAGGAGGCCTTTGATTCTATTCAGTTAGTTGAAAACTACCTTTCAAGTTTCTTCCAACAAAAGACGCGAAGTTTCTACGAAAATTACATCAACAAGCGATAAGAAACAGTTGTTAAAAACAATGGAGACGATGTACTTAAATAATAAAAGTTTTTTGTCAGTATGTAATGATCTAATATAATATTCTCCCGTCAAAGCGAGATATCAGAATTATGTGCTTTTTGTACATCTATACCAAAAATAATCAAACAATTGCTAAAAGCAAAAAAAAAATTCTTTTAAAAAAGATTCCTGAATTTCAAAATCGCACTAAAAAAATCAATTTTTAAAAATAATTTATTAAGTGTACATTTTTTTCTGTTTTTTGTTTATTCTGGAAGAAAATAGCATCTTTTATTAAATTATGTAAACACCAATACCCCCAAAAATATTTTTTATAATATGCGGGCTGATTTGTCCGTATATTCACATCTGACGTTGGATAATTTATTTTACTGAAAGATATTACTTCAGGGATATTACATTATAAAAAAAAAAAACCGAAAACCCGCTAAATTAGAAAGTACACACAAGATATTGTGAAGTGTGGGGGTGCAACATACCCATAAAAATAATTCCCTAATTTTTTCTAATAAAAAATAAAACTATTTAATTAAAAAAAGGATTCATTAATGAATAAGTACGGAAAGTTTCGTTTGAATCGGGTAATTAGCAGATTTTTAGCAAATATTTTAAAACATGGGGTAGCGATTTTTTGCTTTCATTTCAAAAAGCATTCATTTTGGTGATACCTACTTTAATTTTTTTTTTTTTAAGCGTTTCACCCCAAAAGGCGAGAAGCCACTAGGAGGCAAGAGGTTACAGAAAAATTGGAGCAAGATCAGATAGGAGTGATAGAAGAAAGGATGAGGAGAAGGGTAGTGGATAGATCAAGGCAACTGGAGATGTCGATTGACATTACATTTGAATAGCTGGAGATTATAGCTCTCAGGGAAACTGGAATAGAGAAGGGAGTTCCACAGGCGAGAGGTGCGAGACATGAAGCTATTGGGGTAGAAGAGATGACTACATTTAGGTGTTTCGACATTGAAAGGGTGAGAGCGGGATGTCAGCCTCGTAGGGCGATTTAACTCATGAAGTCTGGGAAACAGCGAATGCAGCTCCTCGGAGCAATTGCCATGAAAGTATTTGTAAAACAGACAGAGAGGCGACGGCGCGTTGACAGGAATGATTATATTAGGTCAAACAATCGACCCGTAATGCCATAACCCTGGAGCTTGCGAAGAAGGCCAGCACGCCAAACCCTATCAAACGCTTTGGAGATGTCTAGGGCCACGGCACGAGCTTCCCCGTTATTTTGAAGAGCTTGGTAGAGAGTTTCAGTGTTGGCCGTAAGCACATCAGCTGTAGATCGGGCAAAGCGGAAGCCATATTGCTTGTCTGAGAGCAGATCATGGGATGTGAGGTGGTTAACCACCTCGGTATTGATTAGGGCTTCGAAGACTTTGCCGAAGAGGGGTAGGAGACTGATAGGACGGTAATTAGAAGGGTCAGAGGGGGCGCCAGAGTTCTTGAAGACAGGATCAATCGAAGTGGACTTCCAGCAGTCAGGAAAACAAGATTCCTTGAGGCAGTAGTTATATAGTTTAGAGAGGGCGGGCGCCAGTTCAGGTGCGCATTTCTTCAAGACAATGGCTGGTATGCCATCCCCACCACTAGCCTTGTTGGGGTCTAAATTGGAGATAATGCCCAATACCAAAGATGAGGTTATGTGTAACCCACTCAATAGGGCCTCAGTTCTAAGAGGGAAGTCGGGTATGGGTACACCGCAGGAGTCGAGAGTTGAGTTGAATGAAATTTTCCGAGCAAAGCATTCAGCCTTGTCGGCAGAGGAGGTCAGGACTTCGAACTGGTTGAACAAAGGAGGTATATAGGGTTTGCAATTGTTCAATATGCTCTTGCAGAGACGCCAATAATCTTTGGAGCCAAATTTGCGAGATGCAATACGCTCCTTCATCCGAGCAGCAAATAGTGACTTAACATCGTTGAGGACACGCTTACACTCGTTACGGGCGGAGGCAAAGAGACGTCTATTGCAGTCAGACATAGGTGAAATAGCTACGAAATAGGTGAAAGAAGTGGTTCCTATGGGCGATGGCGGCTGAGCAAGCAGCGGAGAACCAGGGGGAGGATCGCGACTTGATCCTATATTTCCTTGAGGGGATGAAAGCGTCGATTCCAGCTTTAACCCAGGAAGAGACCTCAGAAGCACATTCTTGGACGGGGAGCGTAAAGACAACATCCCAGGGGACATCGCGGAGGAAATCACGGAACGCGTCCCAGTCAGCTCGTTGATAGTAGAACGAAGTTCTAGTGGCAGGAGGTTCTTTGCAGGGGGTGGAGTTGAAGGAGATGTTAACAGATACTACCGTATGATCAGAGTTACCAAGAGGGCAGAGTTGCGTGGCGCTACAGGATTCGGGGATGGGGGTAAAACACAGATCGAGAAGAGAGACGTTACCTTCCCGGTTGAAGGCAAAACGAGTGGGGAAGTTAACTATCTGCGTGACGGATTGAGAGACTGAAAAATTGAGCGTTTGAATGCCTGCGTGGTCAGTAGTAGCATTCTTAAGCCACATGGTATGATGGGCGTTAAAGTCGCCAAACACAAATATGTGAGCAAACGGGTGGAGGGAGAGCGCCTTGTCTATGTTGTCAGAAATGCTATCGAGTATCCCACAGTCTTTAGAGGATGGAGAGCGGTAAAAGAAGAAGAGATAGCTTACCGCATTGAGAAGACATAGTCGGAGACACATGTACGACTGGTCTGGCGATTCGAGAGACAACACTCTGGCCAGAGGGATATGGTCCTTGACGTAGACACCAAGGCCGTGCATGTGGGTTAGAGAGTCTTTTCTGAGGAGAGGAAGGTAGCCTGGGATCGAGAGATCAGAGGAGGAGATAGACGAGACAAGGTTTGTCTCACAGAGAGCCAGTATATACGGGCAGTTTGCAATGAGGAAAGATTCCATACTGCAGAAGTTTGTTCTAATGCCATGGATGTTGGAGAACGAAATGTTGAGGGGTTTAGGTGATTTTTGAGTGGCTGGTTTAGGATTACTTTTTCGGTCTTTGTAAGTCATGTGGAATTTTGGTTGGAAGATGAGAAAGCCCGAAGTAAAAGAAGCAGACAGTTATCGACCGTGACGTGGGCAGATAGGAGTTGGCACAACATGCATCATAATGTGGCCTCAGGGTTTCCCACCGGAGATGACTGCAGGGACACCTTTCCATGCGCGACATGGCACTACAAACAGCCCGGTATTATACAACTGTTGATCAGAGCGGCCGCTCAAGACGCTACGCAAGAGTTAGGGCTCCCAACTGCCAGTCGGAAACAGCAACCAGAGAACTGTCAACCATGTACCCTCAGAATGAAGAGGTGATGCCACAGACTGCACACATCACAGGAGAAACAGAGCTGCACTAATACAGAGGCCAGAGAGAGAGAGAGAGTATCGGGAACAATTAAACACAAGGAAAACTAGAGAGATACACACTCAAAATAATGAGTGTTTGTGTTTTCACCCAAAATTCTGAAATTAAAACTTGAAATAATGTTTAGTTTCATTATAGTTGGTTCACATATGTTTATAATGTAAATTTAAAATTATTCTTATAAATAAGCAATCAAATAAATAAATAGTGTTTAACATCTTTGTTGTCAAATCTCAAGAATAAAGAAAATGTATAAATCCACTTTCATATGTTTGGGTTTTGTTTTGTTTTTTTTTAATTTATAAAATAAATTCAAGTTTGTAGTATCGAAAATTTTAAGATTTAATCTAATTCTCGGTTGTGAGCTATTTTTAAATTCATTTAATTTTTTTAATTGTAGCAACTTTTAGATTATTTCTGTATGGATGTTCAAAGTGGAAATTATTCTCAATTACCGCTTCCGAATACTCAATGTACATGTATATAATAATCCAATAACCGTAATTCAAAATTAAAAAAAAAAAAACATATTAAATAAGTTATAACATCAAACAGGTAAGAAAATGAAAAAAAAATAAAGGTAATGTATCATTTAACTAATAAAATAGTTCTAATTTAGTGTAAAAAATAAAATTGTTCATTCTAAGTTTGATAAAAGCGTATATAACAAACATTATATTCTTAAACCATTGGTTATATAATGTTCAATTTATTTATAAACAAATACTAATTTCTTCATTATTCCACAGCTGGTGTTCTTTAATTTTTGCTTAATTTTTTGCGGCGCTTTCAGAGCTGAAATTATACAATTTCTTTTTTTAACCTATAAAATCACAGGTTACCGTGCGTGAATAAACTTTATTTTCGTTATGTTTTACGCAAATAAAACACCTGCTCAGATATTTTTTCATTTTCTATTGTAGATTTACGATTTGTTCATAATAAAATGCAATGTCGAACTGATCCCTCAGTTTGATTTTAAGTTTGTCTTTGTTTAAATTAACATGGCCAGAGTTTTGTTTTTATCAACACTTTGTTATTGTTTCATGCCTTTCAGATTGTTTTCAAATGAAACATTTCATTTTCTTTCTCATAATGTTGGACAGACTCTTCTAAATCATGGACTCTTCTCGGTCTTTTCTAATAAAAAAATAAGTCACTTTTTAGTAAACCAGTTTTTAAACCAGTACACCAAACAAAAGTATAACTCCACTGTTTATGTTTAATTAACACAAAGTGGCAGAAACTTTTGCGCTAATACGTGTATAGTATATTAGCACTTTTATAAAACACTAAATATAAAAGGTCTGAATTTGATTTTTTATTATCAAATATCAAATGAAATTGACCATTTTTCAATCAAAACAATTCCATAGACTTCGATTTCAAATAACGATGTACGATTTTTTAAATCAAATGTCTTTAATGAACTTTGATATTTTTTTTAGTTTAATGTTTTTTTTTGCAGATGAATCAGCTGGATGAGAAAGTGAGACTGATTAAATCTATATTCAGCAAACTTGGATTATGTTAATTTCCAATCCATTTCCTACTTGCCCAAGTTGAATAAGATTTATATGAATCTACAATCTCTTGAAGGTGAAGAGACATATACAGAGGTGTCATATATCAAAGCTTCCTGAGTATGAGAAAGTCTTAGCCGAAGGATGGATGACGTCTTCTGTCGATGAGACTCGCAGTGCGCCTAAGCAGATCAAAATGAATATTATATATGTCCAGTTTATCTAGGAAGGTTATCCAGACGGGTAAATGACAGGATCTATGTGTTGACCGTGAACTCTGGATACCATTTCACCTTGGTTCGGCACAAGAATTTCACTGGACTCCTGCGATACCTGCAGCCTACTGTGACAGAGACAGTCTGGGAAACATACACACACGCGCGTGCGCGCGCACACGCACACACACGTATATTTTTTCAGTGAAATTGGAGTGGATTTGAACAGCGAAATTAGATCAGAGCATTTTTGTTTACTGATAGTGAAACCTGATCTAGGGCAGGAGCTGTACCCATTGGAACTGGGTCATTAGCAGACAATGGAAATGGTCGAAATAATTTTTATTGATTAAAACTTTGAATAGAGCTGAGTAAGCAAGGAGGACATTTTGAATTCACATGATTTTGGTTGAAACAGCCAAAACACCGTGTTAATCACGTGCGAAGTAGTAGGGCCAAGGTTCAGTTGTAACCAGCTGGATTTTTCTATATAAACGCGTAGTTATGCTGAAGAAGAGGCAGACGGAAGAGAGAGACGGAAGAAGCAGACGGAAGAGAGAGACGGAAGAAGCAGACGGAAGAGAGAGACGGAAGAGAATTAGTCCGGGCAAGAGTTGGGCTAGAGACAGTGGAGAGTCGACTTGGAGACTCAAAAAGGAAATAAAGTGACGTCAGAGATTGAAACGAAGCGTCCGCTAACATGTACTGTTGATATAAGTACCGCTGTTTCTGATACCACGAATATTACTACTACTGTTACTACTGATAAAGAGGAACGCCACTATAAACTTTAAGCCGCGCACAGAAATCTTATTCCCCCATCGCAAGAGTCGCATATCGTTCTGAGACGATTTAACAAGTTAATCATAACACACTCTCACTCTGTCCGGAATCCAGTGTATGCATTTTTACGTCAATTACTTTTCTTTTCTGTAACCCGTTTCTTTTCTTTACTATTCTTTTCTGCTATATAAAAGATATTAACAATTCAATCATTGAATAGTTGTTTGTCCGGCTTTCTGCAGATATTGATTTTTTTTTTTTTTTTTTTTTGCTGCATTCTAAATTTCTTAGAACTGACTCTCCAGCCGTCTACATCTTCAGTCGACCGTGAATGGATGAACATCACTTCCGCTTTCTGGATCAAACCAAACACAACGTGGGCAGGAAGCAGGGTTAAACCAGTGGACCGGTCGAATAATCTACGTATGCTCAGGGGACCTACGGCCACTCCCTTATGTTCGGTTAGGACCGAGTAGACACCTCAACCCAGAGAGTAAGACGTCGGAGGTTGAGGGCTGGGACTGTTAGATTGGTGCCGTATTGACCAGAATAGACCCGTGGGGATTACCACGGCCGTCTGAAAAAGGAGAGAAAGTTGCATTTGTTTTGTCCAATCGGGACCAAGTAAGACCAGAAAGGACTCTAGTCTTCGGACTATATTGGTCTAAAAGCGACATAAGGAGGAAAAGACAAGGAAGCAAAATAAGGAGGAAAAAGAAACAAAACACGGAGCGGCGGACCTCAGGTAAGTCACTTTTTGGTTTCCTTTTTTCGCTTATTGCACTTAGATCTGCCAGTAATATTGTTGATCTTGTTTTGATTTTGTCGACTTTGTACGCAGTTGAAGCGCCACCACTATATTAAGTATTTTTCCTTTCGTTCTGTCGTCGGTCTATCTTCTCGTAGGAAAGTGGTAGTTGACAAGACGCTAGGGTGAACGTAGCAGGATCAGACGCCACAGATGACCTTGGGGACGCGGGAGTCCCCGAAATATCGATGGGTTTCAGATGGCTGATAGGTAGCATGAAGCTACCTACTTAAATATAAAGGAAACCCTGCGGACCTGCACGAATGGATTCTGTCCATTCAGAAGAAGCGGGTGAAATGGTGTTCCTAGCTTATGACGCCGCAGCGGGGCAGGTATCCAAGTTCATAGGTGGGGGTACAAAGAGAAACCGGCCCCGACGTGGACCGAGCTTAAATCCGCTCTGGTGCGGCAATACGCAAGTGAACGTACGGCCATTGAGGCAGTCAGGAAATTATTCCGGCTAATGAGCAATTGGGGGAAAGAATCGCGGGGTAGCTTTTCCGGAGTTGGCGACTCGGGACAGTGGTCCTATTCAGGCGTGAAAAAGTAAGAGACAGGTGGCCCCAGTGCAAGAGAGACCTTTGAGATGCTGGACATGTGATATGGTCGGGCACTTTTCGGCAAGTTGTAAAGAGCGAAGGTGTTGGCGCTGTTGAGGAGCGGGTCACCTGAGACGAACCTGTCCTCGCAGGAGAAAGATGGACCACACCGAACGAAACAACCCTAACTCGAATAGAGGGGAGAAATGGGTTGATAGTCCGAGAAAAGAAAGTCATCCGAGCTCTACCCGACCCAGGAGGGCCCCTAGACAGAAATGGGAGCCCCTAGAAGAAGTTGCTCCTGTCACCGACTCCCACGTCTCGGTTGTCGAGAAAGCGAGAGGAAGTGGGAGAACATACGGGAAGGAGAAAGGCACAGGTATACCGTTTGCTGAAGGAAGGGCCAGACTTCACCTGTAATGGGAGACAAGAAGGTGAAGGCCCTTGTCGATACTGGAGCTTCAGTGTCACTGGTTAACTCCAAGGTTTTTAGACAGTTGGGACTGAAAACGAAGCTTAGTCCCGTCCATCTACTAATAAGTCAGGCTGATAGTAGCAGGATGAGGATAGAGGGTATGACGTGGCTACCTTTCCAGTTGGCAAGAACCAGAGGTAAACTTAAGGTTTATGTGGCACCTGACTTGTGTGGTGAGCTAATTTGTGTAGTGACTGGCTTAGGCTGAAGAAGGCACAGTTACGTTTCGACCTCGCCACACTAACATTGGACGGGGCAGGGTTACTGTTCGGAGAGAATAATTATGAACAATTGCCAGTGGTGGCCCAGACAGATATAAAGCTTCCCCCTAGGACTACTGTACCTGGGAAGGGCAAGATTATAACAGAAGGAGTGCTGAACAGTGGTCTGATATTGATAGGTATGATAATAGTAAAGGGGGAAATAACTGTGAGTGATTCGTTGGGGACTGCTCCCTTACTGTTAACCAATACTGTCAATAAAACTATTAAAATAAAGCAGGGAGAGGAGCTGGCACAGGCGATCCCAGTGAGAGAAGTCGAACAGGTGAGAGTATGGAATGAGAACAGGCCTGTGAATAAAACAGGTAGCAATGAAATAAGGGATGAAGATATAACAGTTCCTCAGCGTTATAGGAGGAAATTGAGGGGGTTGTTGAACAGTAATTGGGAGGTAATAGGCATTACTGATAAGGAACTGGGACAGACGGAGACAGTTGAAATGAAGATAGACACGGGTAATCGCCCACCTATTAAGTTAAGACCGTATAGGACCCCAATCCACAAAAGAAAATTAGTAGAGAACACAGTAAATGAAATGATGGAATCAGGGATAATCGAAAGATCCAAATCTCCCTGGAGTTTTCCAATAGTGGTTGTTGAAAAGAAGGATGGAGGGCATAGTTTTTTTGTGGATTTTCTTCAATTAAATGCCATTACGAAACCGCTGACAGTGCCCCTCCCCTTGATTGATGATATTCTAGCTCTTTTAGGAAAGTCTAAATGTTTTTCCACCTTGGTTTGAAGTCGGGATATTGGCAGGTAGCACTTAGCGAAAAGGATCAGGAAAAGACCGCTCTTACCTGCCACATGGGTCTCTTCAATTTTAGAGTTATGCCATTTGAGCTGGCAAACGCCCCGGATGTATTTAGTCAGTTAATGTCCATAGTATTGAATGGCACTGAAGCCTTTGCTATGGCGTATCTAGATGACATCATGGTGTTTTCAAAATCACCGGAGGAGCATTTTGAACATCTGCAGAAGGTGTTCGATAGGTTAAGAGAACATGGATTAAAGTTAAAATCGAAGTGTCAGTTTATGAAAGAAGAGACAAAGGTTTAGACTTAGGGTTTATCATAAACGAAGAAGGAATAAAAACGGATTTAGACAAAGTAGAGGTTATAAGAGCCATGCCCGCGCCGAAGACTGTAAGAGAGATTAGGGGATTTATTGGAGCCATCGGATATTGCCGGAGGTTCATACAAGCATTTAGTCAGTTAGATGGCCCTCTAACTAAGAAGCATGCTAGGTTTAAGTGGACCGAGGATTGTCAGCGTACATTCGAGGCTCTAAAGGACCAGCTGACAGATGTACCCCTGTTGGCCTACCCAGACCTGAGTAAGCCCATGGTGCTGTACACCGATGCTAGCAATAAGTGTATCGAAGCGGTTCTTACACAACTATGTCCCGATAAGGATGGATCAGTACCGGGTGTGCTTGAGGAAGTGCCGATCTATTTTCTGTCTCATCGGCTCTCCGAGACTCAGCAAATGTGGCCAGTAATAGAAAAAGAGGCGTTCGCCATTCTGTATGCTGTGCAGAAATTAGATTATTATTTGAGTGGGGCTGTGTTTACCATTAAAACAGACCAAAAACCCCTCAAATATTTGTTAGAGGCGGAGTGGACGAATAAGAAGATACAACAGTGGGTATTGAAGTTAAGTGGGTATAACTGGAGAATAGAAAAATTTGGCAGGGAAGGATAATACCTGTGCTGACCCGTTATCCAGGATTCCGAGGCAATTAGAGACCGAATCTGTCAGGTTGGAGCCGGGTGTGGATGATAAAGCATTCCAAATTAATGTGATCAATTCACAGGCGTTGAAGGAGAGACTTGGTTGGGAAGATCAGGAAACGAGTGAAACGGAAATTGTTTCCGACCCCCACTGGAGAGATATTATTAGGCCAAACCAAGAGGATAGCGAGATAGCAACTATCAGGTCCAGGGTAGAGGCAGGGCATACCTCCAAATATATGGTGCACGATGGAGTGATGTATTACTTTTCAGGAAGTGGTGAGGAAGTATGTTTAAAAATGGTGATACCTGAGAAGTTGAGAGCTGAAATTCTAGACCAATGCCATAGAAGGAATTGATAAGACGTATGAATTAATAATGAGAAATTACTACTGGCCTAAGTTGTTTAATGATGTTGTGAACCATGTAAAAAAATGTGCAACATGCCAAGTACAGAGTCAAAGGTGTAGGGTTGCCCCAGTATTAGAAACGGATGTTCCGAATTATCCATTTCAGAAAGTAAGCATGGATATTCCCGGGCCCTATGGAGAAACTCCTAAAAGTAATCTTTACATAGTGAGTTTCGTGAACTGGCTGACGAATTGGCCTGAGGCATTTGCCATACCGGATAAGAAGGCACAAACGGTGCCAGATATAATACTGAACGAAATATTCCCTTGGTATGGGGCCCCCGAACAGTTGGTTACCGATAATGGATCGGAGAATGTGAATCAGATTATGAGAGAGACGTTGGGAGAATTAAACATACAGCACATAACCACCTCTCTATATCAGCCCCAAAGTAACGCTAAAGTAGAAAGATTTCATAAGACCCTCGCTGATGTGTTAGCTAAACTAACAGAGGACAATAGGGAAAATTGGGATTTATTCATAACCCAAGCGTTAGCAGCTGTGAGATTCTCGATGAACGGGGCGACAAAATTTTCCCCTTATTACTTGATATATGGCAGGGATGTAGTCTTACTTATAGACAATCTGTTACGACCTAGGAGGAAGTATTTAGGAAAGGATTTTCACCAAAGAGTTTTAGAACAACAGCATAAAATTTTTACGCAGGTGAGGAGGAGGATTGAAAGAGCCCAGAAAAGGCGAAACGATAGGGTAAATAAAAATAGAGAAGTTTCCTTCCAGGTGATCCAGTTTATTATAAAATACACCTGAGAGAAGGTAAATTGAACCAGAGATGGAGTCCATACTATAGGATCATGGAGCAGACGGGTCCGGTTTCCTTTGTGATCTGGGACCAATTGACCGGACAGGTAAAGAGAATGCATGCGAATGATATAAAGCTCGCAGAAATAGGGGAATGGAAAGGAGCCGAAACAAAAACAGAAAAGGCTGAGGAAAAATACGTTGGGAGAACCTGAAGGTTTAGAGACTGAGAGTGAACATGAAGGGACTGAGGAGATTGAAATTAGCCCAACTACCCTTCGAAGGCTGAAGGAGGTAAATCGGACCCCAGCGGGACATTCTGAGGAAGCAGGGATTGAGCCTAACCTTAAGGAAGAAGAAGAACTGAGTGGTGAATGGGAAGAAGAGGATGAAATTCCATTAGCTCAATTGCAGAGTAAATTGCGGACTGAAAAAGCACCTCGTGTTAATCCGGAATTGCCACTAAAACGGCGATTGTGAGGAGCGGTGCAGCCCGAGCTCAAGTATTAAGTGAAACCAGTTACGGTGGCTGTGGTGAATGAGTGACGGTCTGGGACTAACTGTGCATTATCAACAGTGCTGGTGAACTGTGTGGACAACCCCCATGCATGCACGGCGCTGGTGGTGGTGTGGGTCGGTGCTTGAGGTATCGCTCTAAGATGTAACCACCCGATAAAAACAATGAGAATGATTGAGAATGATCGAATTATTCTCTCCATCTCTTTGCAGACATGGACGAGAGGAGGTTCGTGGTACTGACGATGCTAGTTGTGGTAGCTAATACCTGGGAACACAGAGAGAATAATGTATTTAAGAAGACTAGCGAAGATCAAAGTGGTTGATAACTGGTGATAAACCTGCAGCCGTATGAGATTTTACTAGGTCAGTGGAAGACCGAAGTGGACAAACTACAGCCAGGACACAAGTTGCCGGAGATTATTTACAGACTCCGGAATAGCACCGTATATTATACTCCTTAGCTCAGGAATCCCTAATACTTGAGAGACAATGGAAGGATCTGAGTTACTATTTGAAGGGAATAAAGTTGTTACGGACCAGAGAGAGGAGGGCAGTATTACCTATAATCGGAAAGGCATTAAGCGTGTTTTTTGGTACAGTCTCCGAAGACGAAGTGAGAGGAATTAAGAGGAAATTAAAGGTGGTAGAACAGAGACAACAAGCAATGGCTCAGTCGGTCAGAGAGAGGGTATCTATACTCAATGTTACGAGGCTGGAATTGGCTAAGAATAGAGGGAGTATCAATTGGTTGATTTCTCACCTACAGGTTTTTAGAAAAGAAGTGATAAATGTAACCACGTCTGTAACAACCGAATTACAGAAATTAGAGGGGTTTTTGCAAAGGTATTTTCAATTATTAGTTGTAATGAGTAAGGTACGTTAAACAAGTCGCTCTTTAACGTTAGAGCATGTGAGAGCACAATTAGACATGCTGTCGCTGGGACACCTGTCTCCGAGTATAATAACGCCAGAACGGTTAAAGGAAGTACTACTGGAGATACAAGCCAAACTACTCATCACCTTAGATTATCTGTAGACCCCACCCAGCAGTTATGGAGGTATTATAACGCCTTGGAATGTACTACCTTTTTGTAAGATGACAAATTGCTAGTACTAGTGTCGGTTCCATTACTGGACAGAGATAGTACCTTAGAAATTTATCAGGTGATGAATCTTCCCCTTCCCTATCCAAAACTAAGGCCGAAGATAGGAGCGGTGGCTAGGTATAAGGTAGAGACGGAATTTGTTGCCCTAAACCTAGCCAGGACAGAGTTTATGCTATTAACAAAGGGAGAAGCAGAAAAATGCAAGAATGATGCCCTAGGTACCTGTGGGTCTGTAAGTCCAATTTACGTGACATGTAGTCACAACCTATGTGTACTAGATTTATTTAAGAAAAATAAGAAGTGAATTAGAGATCATTGTCAGGTAGAGATGTTGGCTTGTGTAATGTTACCTAAAGCAACCAGTGTCTCTGGCGCAATTTGGGCGGTGGCCACCCAAGAAGAGAATTATCTAAGGTGTGTGAAGGGAAGCTCGCCACTACGATGAGTTATTTCCCCTTTTTTTTCGTAGAGCTACCCATTGATTGTGGAGCTCATGGTCCATCTATCTCTTTACTCCCGTACTACCAAGCAGAAGAGAAGTTTGAAGAGAATGAGGCTTTGTTAGAGATGGTAGGAACGAATGCCAGTAGATGGACGGGATTGTGGGAACCCATTGTAAGAGAGATTCCTAAGATGTCGCTAGAAAAGATGCCGGCGTTGTTAAAGCCAATCGATAAGATTGATCTTGGACGGTTGAAGAGTTAGACGAAATAGGTACTCCGAATTCGGGCTGGAGAGAGAATTGGGTTACTATAATAACCTGGCCGACCGTTGTGGGAATTATACTAATGATAGTCATGGCCTTGCTGGTCTGGTGGTGGTTGAAGAGGCGTGCGGTGTTGTCGACCGGGCAGAATAGACTGGCGGGAGTGCATGAGTGAAAGAGGGATTCCAGTTAGTGCACTTCACCAAGGTAGGTCCGACCTGAGTGCATTGGGACCCCTAACTGATATTGAAGAAGAGTCCATGATTGTCTTGGAAGGACCTGAACCAACAAAAGATTCGACAAAGCCTGTTGTGAAAGCGAGACAAAATCGGAGGGACAGATTTACGAAGTAAATCGAGTTTTTTTTATTTTTAGTAATGAGACTGAAATAATTGGTAAGGAGTGTTGCGAACTTAAAAAAAAAAAAAAAGAAAAAAAAGGAAACAGCACTCGAACTAGTGAACTATGTAAAAAGGTTCTATTGCAGGAGAACACCAAAACAGTGAACTTTAACCGCAAGTTGCATGTACATATGTGTCGTAAGGACAATGTAAATGTAAATGGGCATAATGAGCCCTAAGAAGAACTAAGGACTCTAACTTTGAAGAGACGTATATTTAAGTAGACCTTAGTAAGAAGCATGTTGGACTGGGTTTTCTCATATTTTGTTGATATGAAAGTTCGTGTGTCATTTACTAGTAAATGACAGATGGGTAGGGGAGGAAATGTGACAGAGAGTCTGGCACACGTATATTTTTTTGCGAAATTGGAGTGGATTTGAACAGCGAAATTAGATCAGAGCATTTTTGTTTACTGATAGTGAAACATGATCTAGGGCAAGAGCTGTACCCATTGGAACTGAGTCATTAGCAGACAATGGAAATGGTCGAAATAATACTCAATACCGGTTCGCACAGATAGCAGATGAATTAATAAAAAAAAAACTACAGGGGTTTGTTCTTGAAGATCCTTGTCATAACCAAATAGAACAGACTTTATGAGCCACGTGTGAGTTTCCGTACATTTAGAAAATAAAAGCATATTTGAACTTTAGAGATTGAAAGAAGAAGTTCTCTTTATATCCAAATAGTTAGAAGTTATAAAGCCTTTTGCCCTAAGTGCTTAACATCCTCCTTATGTGACAAATACGGTTATGCTAGATTCTTTATCCCAATTGTCAAACAATTCATGAAATAACTAAAAAGAAAAACAAAATAAAAAAGGCTAAATTAATGTTTGGTAAACCATTGATGGAAGCACTGTGCAATGGAATTGATGTAAAATTTACCTCCCAGATAAAAGTTAAAACTATTTATTGGCATCATTTTAGTTCCCATGTTCAAAAACTTAAATTAGTCAGGTGGGACCGAGAGAAAAGCTTCTTTGGGAAGAAATCAATAAAGCCTGAAAATGTGTGAACGTGAAGGAAGATTAGACGCTTAAATTGGTTAATATTAACACGCCCCCAACGATGTTTATATTCAATCCCACCCCAATGATCCGCTTTTCCATCTCAGGAGGAAAATTCTTACAAATTCACAATATAAATGTAGATAAAAAAAATAATTTTTAAAAAGTGAGAATTTATTTAGCAAAATAATTTTTTTAGATTGACAATTTCTGGAAATTTAGTTAAGTTTTCTCTCTCGTGTCTGTTTATTTGCGTTATATTTTCGTCGTTTGGAAATGTCTTGAAATTATTGGCGATATGTGACAAATCTCCAACGGATGAACCTATCTTAATCCTTTGCCTATTTTCGTGCGTACTATCCAAACGTTCACGCTTGATTTCAACTCATTTGCTTATTTGGCAAATAAGTATGTGCTGAATATAGTGTTTGACATAATAAAAACGTACAAATCATAAATTATTTACACTATGCCCTGTGCATTACATGTGATGCACAGATTTTTGTTATATGAAACACTATATATGATGAGAAAATATTAGATTAGGCTTTTCCTCAGACGTCCTGCTTAATAGTAGACTATTTTCTTAAGCGTCATTAGTTTTACAACTCTTTTAAAATCATGGCTCGTGTATACCACATATGATGTGCAGGACAGGCAAAGGGTTAAATGTTATTTTTATTCTTAGGCTTGTAATATTTCAACTAAAAGCTGACATGAACTCTTCGTATAGTTATCTGCTGTAAATAAAGTAAATATTCCTCCTGGATAGATGTTGATACGTATGGAGATAAACATTTTACCGAGGTAGACGAATAGTTTCAAAGACAACTCATAGATTCTTTTATATCAAATGATGATGATAGAAAGATTTGACCATTCGTCATCTTACGAGTTGAAGTGTAAGATCGTTAGTTGCCAGAATATAAAAAATGAAAACTCACTATCGTAAGCTATTTTCTATCAATCTTTGTTCTACAAGTGTCAGTAGATGCTTACTCAATTTATTTTAATGCTACAACTCTTGATCATCACATGAGGATTGAAGTCACTATCAATAGCGTGTTAACCGACGCCTTACTGCAAAGGTTAAAAGAAAAATTTTTATGCAATTTCATTATCTCTATTTGCAATAGTTGATAAGAGAGATTACCCACTGTTTTGGTTTTATATAGAAAAAGTTGTACCCCAGCGGCTCAAGCTTTTTTAAAAAAATTTTTTTTTTTTTTTTCATGATATAAATGTATTTATTAAATGACTAAATCTCCTTATTCTCACAATCTTTCTGGTGATTTCACTAATCTCAGTAATTCTCACATTCATTTTTCTTTCTACTAGACGAGATTAACATCAATAACTATCTATTTTAAGGATAGGTTGCATGGTCTAACCTTGAGGCTAGTGAGTTCAATCCTAACCGGATGACCCACAAATGCGGCCTTATACCAAATTGAATTCTGTTTAGTATATAGCAATAAAATATCTATCCAATATGAAAGGCCCATGTCACTTGGGATATCAGCAGAGAGAAAGCTGACTATTAAGGTAAATACATTGCAATGTAAATGGCTTAAAGACATTTCCTCTTTTCTTTTTCTACTCAGTTTCAATTAAACCTGCTTTTCATTATAATTTCTAATATTTTCTTCGAGTCAGTAGAGATAAAATGAAAGCACACTTCCTAAATACTCTAAGACCTTCTGCAGTATTTTTGGTTGATTTTAGTAGTTCTGAAATCTGGATGGCCTCGATTCCCTCTCGGATTTCCAGATCTGCCAGCCACTTTACTGAACTCCTCCGAATGTTCCCAGGATACCGATCATGGAACTTTCATGCTCTAATTATATCTTCATTTCTCTGTCAAGATATTTTTTGCTTATCTTTCGTTTTAATTTACGATCACTCGAGAATTAAATAAATAGTGGCCGTTTCTGGAAAATTGGCGACAAGTTCCCTCTCCATTCTATCACCTACTTCAATTTTCTCATGTCTAACATTACTATTCTTGGTCAGTTTCAACCATTTCTTGAAATGTTAATTTCCCCCAATTTTGCTTCTAGTATATTTGGGACAGTCCTTGCAATATACTGGCATAAGCGTGACTCTTAAATTTATCGGTTTCTTCAGTTTTCAAGTGAGATCTTACTAATACTTAATTCCTGTGATTGTTAATGCCCAACCTCCATCTTCTCTACGCATTCAATTTTATCTATTTTCTTGCACATGGTTCATTATTATTATTATTTCATTTCGTTTCTGGTGTGTACTCATTTCTTTCATATTTTACATATATAAAACCTTCGTAAGGCGGGGCTGTACTTGTGAGAACAATATTCTGTATTTCTTTAAGGTATGAGTTACCAGGAATCCCTTCAATGAGTCTATTGAAATCTTATCCAATTGATCCGAGGGCTCCAACTACAACTACAATTGTTAATGTCCTCATGTACCACATTTTTGAGATTTCGATGTCAAAGTCATTTTATTTTGATAGTTTTTTTGAAGATCTTCAAAGATATATTACAGTCTGCTGGGACTGTCATTCCAATAAGAAAGCCCATTCTTTTCTTGTGGTCTTTAATCCTGATTTCTGGGTGATTGTGTGTATTGTAAAGCCCCATAAGATTGTTACAGGCCCTATGTCTGTAAGCGGGTCTATGTGATGTTCATACCAATTTCTTGCAGTTTTCTTCCTGAATATTTTCCAGTGCAGATATTGGCACATTCTGTCATGTCAAGTGCTATTACCTGATTATTATTATTATTATTATTAGCCAAATCCTCGTCTTACGAATATTTCTCTTAACAATAATTTAAAAATAATTCACCAGACGATGTTATTTTATTTATGTTAATTGAATATATGGCGATGGCCTTACCCGGTTTCTATCATTCGATACTATGCGTCTGAAAAAAAAAATTTTTTTTTCGCGGTCACCGTATCATGTACATTTACACGGAATTCTGACGATTTGGGAAAATTTTAAGATCGAGTCCTCTGGCAACGCGCGGCATAGGAAAGCCAACCTCACCAAGTGTGGCATTCCCAGCCCCCAGTGACACCGACGCTGGGCACAAACGTCTGGGCAGACCTGATGCTTGCGATCACCGCACGAGAAGGAGAAGGGAAAGCGTTCAAACGCTTACCTAAGTACTTGCTGAGAGGGAGTACAGACAACCGGTAAAATATGAGCGGAAAGACGTACATGGCGCACGCGTCAGCCACATCCTTCACGGACAAACACTTCGGAGCCAAGTTTGGACTGTCGCTTCGACCTTTTATTCCCAAGCAGGAGTCCAGGCCAGAACCACACTCCAAGAATGCGGACAGTCCCTTCAGTCCAACCAAAGGAATCCGGAAGAGCGACCCCCTTCCAGGCAACTAACAGCAACCGGAAGAATTATTGCAGTTAATCTTGGCCCTGGGACCTTTTCGTACCGTTCAATCGCCTTATGTACCACCTCAATGTTGCTGCAGCACGAGACGAAAATGGATACGTCATCGGTGTACGCGAAAAACCTGGCTCGAGCCCCACCAAGCTCAGCGATTTCACGTTGTGCTGGACTGCACGCCCTGTCCCTTAACCAGCGAATGTGAGTCTCCAAAGCCAAAGCGTAAATTAGTGGTGACAGTGGGCAACCCCGACGAACCGACCAGGACAATGCAAAAGTATGGGACCGCTTTCCGTTCACATGTACCACAGCACTGGACGAGCGATACAGGAGGCTAATCTACTTGCAGAAGTCGCGTTCAAATCCGGCGGTCTGCAGGGCAGTAACCCGGTACCGATTGTCGACCCTATCAAATGACTTGAACTGATCCAAAGTGATCAGAGCGGCTTGCTCGTTGTTTTTTACACCCTCTAGGATCGTGCGGATCAGATGAAGGTTGCTCTGAATTGTTCGGCCCTCCACAGCACAAGTATGCTCGGATCCCAACAGAATCTCGACAACTGACTGCAAACGTTCCGTTAGGATCTTGGCCTAAATCTTTAACTCTGTGTTTAGCTGTGTTATGTAATCATCTAATTCCCACTCCTATTCTTACACCTTTTCAGCAGAATCATCACAGCACTGGAGATCTGGTCGAGCATAGATTCCTGTCGAAACCAGTTGTTGAACCTGCTAATCAAAATTAATATTTAAATGGTCAAACATTAAAATACTGATCTTGGGAAATGAGTTGTTCCGCGAATTTTAGCGTTCTCGTTCCATTCATAAGGCGACCATCTTGATTACGATGTTCACTTATCTCTACTTGAATTTAATGAAAATTTAAACGAAAGCAATAACAAATAGTTGAATTAAAACACTCATGTTCTTGAAAGCATGCTGCCAGCTGAAGACTGAAATGCATAAAGAAATTCATGTCTGTGAATAATAGTCACATATCCATGCTTGTGAAAAGAGATGTTTGACTGCGTTCTATTGTATAGAGAGGTGATTGACAGACGAGACTATCGCTTATTGCGCATTCTTCAATGAATGGAGCAAACATGTCGCTTTTAGACAAATTATGCGCAGCTTAGAAAATAATTGAACTTATTTTGTGACCAATGAAATTGTATGCTACTCGCATGACAATTCACGCGGATTTAAGTTTTCGAAGATTTGGACTCAGTTTTTCAAAGAGTGGGAAATATAGAAGGTTATATATTTTTCCGAAAAAAAATCCTTTTATTCCATCTTCTCGGAAGTTTCGCCTTCATTTCTCCTCATATACTGACAGATTTACTTAGTTTTTTATCTTTTAAAAGATAATCCTTCTGCCACTTAATTTGTAGACAGTTTGATGTAAGTAGGTCCTTACTTTCCGCACAAACAATTGTTTTTATCTTATGGGTGACTTTCGCCGGATTTCAATTATTCCCAAATTTATTTCCAAATTCTAAAAATTGTTATCGTAGAAAAAAATTCGTCGCAAAAAATCACGTAAAAAATCGCCGAAAACAATTGCAATAATAAAAACTTGGAAATCCAAAATTTTAGGATTGCGGGTCCGGATCAGGAACAAAATGTTTTTAATTTGCTCAATGGAGTCAGCCTAATTCCAAAATGGTATGATATGTTGGGCTACAGTCTCTAGGAGAAAAGTTGAAAAAGTGTGACACACTGACACAGTGACATTAGCATTTATTATATAGTCGTGTGTGTGCAAATGTTCCCGTGCTGTGACGTAGCCGATTTTTCCTTTGTTGCTCTCAGCAACACTTTCGCCTTTATAACCTCTGTTCCTTTTATTTATTTTTTTTGTACTTATTCCTCTGTCAATTTGTACACATTTGCCAAGAGGTTTATTCGTCGTTTTCCTCTGTTTCTACTGATTTCAATATTTCCTGTAAGTGTTAAATTACCCAAACCTTCTTTCATCATTAAACCTAGAAAAATTCCACCAGTCAATTTCTGATTGTTACCAATGTTTTTTTTGTTTTTGTTTTTTTTTTGTTTTTGTTTTTTTTGTAATTCCTATTCTCTAATTTATGTAATTCTCCTAAAACTTCCTTATTTGTTGTAAGCTTTGTCCATTGTATTTTCAACATTTGTCGATTTTCTTAAGTCGTTTTTATGACAAGATAGTCCAACTGTAGATTGTGCAGTTGTTTGGCCCTCTTTTTCTTTGTTTCTAATGTTACGTGTCGATCCATTAATACCTTACTCAGGTTCTAAGAATTATCATTCACTATTATTATACGTTTACAAATTATGGGGAAATTCCCATATGCAAACGAAATAAAAAAATAAAAAAGGAAATTTACTCGGATGTCTGTAGACGTTGCTCAAAATATTCTTTGAGCGCCTAAAGAAATTAAGCTAAGTAGAGAAAAATGTCCATAAGAAAGTAGTAGCAGAAGCTATAAAAGTTTTTTTATTATTATTATTTTGTTTAGCCGTTTGGACGTTGGTAGATCAACATATTAGCAGGAGCCTCCATTTGTTAAATGGAAGGAGTTGCTGATTAATTGTTGTTTGTACAAAATACTCACTTACTAATAAAATCGCGTCGAAGTGCAGGTTTACTTTTAACTCTTCCGCTCGGCCCATTAAACTACTTTTCAAAATTCTTCAAGGTTCCAAATTCCGTCATTCTGAAGGCACTGTATCACCATAATGAGTCTCAAAAGCCTGGCTTACCAAAAAGTTTCTTTGATTGGAAATGTATTTCGCTCTAGATCGTAGAAAGAGGCAGAGGGTTGCTTTCTTTTTTTTTCTTTTTTTCGCATATTTGTTTATATAATTTCTGTGTCACATTTTCTGACATCACTTATTACACTGCCCAGGTAGGTTTTGATGTCTGCATGGCTAATTTTCATCTCGGGATGTCCCTTACTTTCATGACGATGCATTTTATCTTATAATTAGTTCTACCTTCAAGAATGTTAGTCCTATACTTTTCTTTTCCTGACAACATTATCAAAAAGTACTTTCAGTTTTCCTAACAAATTTGTCATCAACTCTGTATCATCTACGTAGCAAACATTGTTAGGGTCTATCCGCCTATAATAAATATACTTATAGGTTTTCCCTAATTCATTTAGAATTAGAGTCTTTAATCCGGTCAAAAACATCCTTGTCGCATTCTTCTTTCTATTTTGATGTATTCATTTCATCCTCTTTTTGCACACAAGATGTTTGTTCCAATATAGATTGTAGATATTTCCTATATCCTTTCGTGTTTTTCTGTTGTATATAATTGAATGCCTTTCTTTAATCAACGCAATGCAGGTGTATGACTATCTTCGATTTTGCTTCATATTCTGGCAGAATTCTGACCATGAATATAGCATTTTTTAACAGCATCAGGCATGCATTGCTCGTTTCCTATTTCGGTTAAGTTTATTTAGGAGCTACAGAAGAAAATTAATAAGTAAAATTCTAATTTTGATTATTAATTTTCTTATCTAGTTCTTCCACTCGATTCTTCGATGAAGTTTGATTTCAGTCGCACCTGATTACATTGGCGACGCTCTGAAAAATAGTCTGCTTAGATTTTCTGCTATTTTACTTAATATTATCAATCCGAAAATCGTCTAAGGTTGAGAACATTTTTCTCTGACAGCTTCTTCTGTTGATTCTGCTTTGTTCTGCTTTATGTTGGCCATTCTTGTTCTTACTCCATATATTAGTATCTTCAATCTATACTTTTATTGTGTGTTCTTACCTCTGCTGCCATAGAAAAGTTTTTCTTTGTACTCACTATAGTTTCAGTATTATCTTTCATGAACGTAGTTCATTCTTTAGATTTTATACATCTTAAACAAGAGCATGTTTTCTGTACTGGTATGTATTTGATCTTTTCTTTGTCTTTCCGTTTTTAAATCTCTGTACATTTCCTATTTTAGCAATTCATCCTTCGTGTGCTTGCACTTATCTCTAATCGTTTTGTTTAGCCTTATATATTCTGCCTATCTGTTGTTTTTTCCTTTATTAGATCGAGAAATTCACCGGTCATCCACTTCTTTTCCGCTTGTTACTTTTCTTCAAGGTGACTTGTTTTACTGTTACCACTTGTGCTTCATTTAAGGTATTCCACTTTGAATTCTTGACATGTTTCAAAGCTTTGTACTTATTCTTAACTACGACGGCATATAACTTTTACAATGAAGTCGCTATGAAGTTTTCCATATTGAAGTTTAGGTATTGCTCTGGGTTTCTTAAATTTTTGCAATCTACACTCTTAATTTTATAATATAGCTAGTGGTGGGGCAATCCCTCCCACAGTCAGCAATCTGCAAAACTGACTTTCTGAACGGTTTCTTGATAGTCAAATTATCTGCTTTTTGTTTCTCCTGTTAGATTTTCCAAGTTTGCAAGATTGTTGGACGTTCTTCGAACTAAATGTTGCTAATACTTTGCTATTTGTTCTGCAGCATTGAGCCCATTTTCCCCCGAAATCATTGCATTTTCATAGAAATTTGTTAGCGTTCTCCTCATATTAAAATACAGGTTTATTCGGACTGCTAATCGTCATAACATCAATCAACAGAGGCGCGAGCTGTATCTGCATAACAAAGACAAATTAACTAATGCGAATTATCGCCAGTAGAATGAACACCTGTGTCAAAGCAATATATCTCCGTTGTCCTCATATGGTCGAATTATGGCATTCGAAAACTTATGCAGTGATACCCTCACCACCATAAACCACACGTTTTATTGAAAAATGTTATTTAGTATTTAATTTCAAATACTAGATTTGTTTTTTGTTGTCAGACGTCTGGTAATGCACAGTTCCATCTGATGTTTTAACCCATTGACTTCCAAGACGATATTTTACCTTTTTTATTTACAATGTAGAATATTTATATAATAATAATTTATATTGAGCCAACTTTTACGCAATGACACATTTCATGAGGCCTCTGTACGAATTTTTACTTATTTTCAAAAGTTTACAAGAGCAATTCGCTGAGAAATGCTCTTTTTTCTTTTTCCATTGATTTTCTTTTTTAATTTTCAGTGCTAGAAAATCTGAATATTGGCGAAGTGTGTACAAGATTTTTTGTTTCACGTTGTTTTTTTAATTATCAAAACTAGCTTTCTTTTACTGAAGATTTTAACTCTCTAAAGTCAGAGAATTGTCTAACAATTACATGGCAAAGCAGTTTAAATAATTGGTTAAAACGCACCTAACATCTTCGCAGTTGTGAGTTCAAGCACTGGCTTGGGTAGTATGCAAATGCCATAAACACGGATTTAGAGGAAGATACGGACAAGCAACACAAAAAGAAAATTAATTTGATTTGAATAAAAAGGATTCCGTTCAAAGTTACCAAGTAGGGTAAAAAAGGCAACCAAGATGAGTATTAGTCAGAATTGATTTATAAATGTTTTAAAAATCATGCGCATTATACCCAGGGCTATAGAAAGAAAAATACTTTGACACTTCTTCAGCTATTTGGTTCTAAGTCAGTGCCACAAAATGGAATCTACACATTTTCGAACTAAAATGTCTCAATCGTCTGATGATTTTGGGTTGCTCGGTGGTGAGCGACCAACCAAGTTAAAAGGAATTCTCAAGTCTCACTAACGTTTTCCAGCGTTTTGTTTACGTTTGAAAATACCGACGGTGAGTTTAAAATAAAAACATGCAAAGGCACTGATTAACTCCGTGTTCTTTTGCATCTTCCAAAAGAGAAACATATACTCTGTTCTAACTCCACTATTCCATAGATTATTATTATTATTATTATTATTATTATTATTATTATTATTATTATTATTATTATATGCACCGATTTTTTATCAGTTGCAAACTACACTCTTTTTCTTTCTGTATTTTTCTTGATAAAATACCCAAATTTATTTTCCTTCTCTTTTTATTACTATTCATCCGCCACCTCTATCCCTTTCGTTTTCTCTTTATCTTATCTTCTCTACCATGCAGACTACCGCTTTACGACTAATGTACATAGAAGATATTTACTAAGTATAATAACCAAGTTTGGCACAAGATCAAAGTAATTTAGTACCCGGTAGAAAATATGATTATTTTACTTCATCCAGTCATTTGAATTAGAAGTCCAAATTGCAAAATAACGACTCTCATAGACAAATTGGTAAAATCTAATGTAATTTGTAAGCCGCCAGTACATTTATATTATTTTTAATATTCGATGTACCCACATCGTTTATATATTAAGATCTTTTTTAAACAAGAAAAGAAAATGGTAATGGTATCAATGTTACAAACTTTCTAGATCGACACCCACACATTTTCTTTCTTTCTTTCTTTCTTTCTTTCTTTCTTTCTGAATGAGTCTGGATGTACAAGTATCTAATGTTATATAAGCTACAGTGGATACGTCAAAGAACACCGTTTATTAGATGTCTAAGAGCCAGATCAGACTGAAAACGGTGTAATGATGTAATATCTAGACTGGAGCTTCCCAATTTTTGCTTTCCAGTTTTGCTTGGTCTCAAAAGTCTATGCCGCCTTGTGTGCGATGAATTGTTTTTCACCCTACATTTCCTCGATTTCCATTTCAAATGCTACATTTCTTAGTTTCACCAGTTCTAACCTTCTCAGCTAAGATCCGCCATGCCACGTCTATTGGGATGAAGCATCCCCATTCCTCTTTGTATTCCATTTGCAAGTTCCACTTGGACAACTTCTTCACAAGAAATGTTCCTTTGGGGAACAGATTCCTAGTAGGATTATGCTTTTCCGACTGCAACAATCTTAACCTCTTTACGTCTAGACTAAAAAGTTATATTTCTAACATATCCCCAAACTGCACACCTTACCACTTCTTACCGCCTCAGAAAATAACCTACTTCAGTAAACCTTTACCTTAAAGTGACTCTTAGGCCTTGTATTTTGCGAGCAAAAAAAAAAACAAAAAAACAAAACACGAAACTTTTGCCTCCGTAGAAACTTGTTCCAGGATAATTTAATACAGAAAAAATATTTTCGGTTTTCTGGTTAATTTTTTGGTTTAGAATCATTTTTTTTTTTTTTCAGATTATATGTTTGCGTTAATTAGCTTCACCAAGCTGACAAATCCGTACATACGGATAGTAGGGAAGATCGATTAGGGAAGATCGATTAGGGAAGATCGATTAGGGAAGATCGATTAGGGAAGATCGAGGTATTTCACTCAGTTTAAAAGTTGGTACCTGAAATGATAACTAATGACAATAATATTTTTTCAAATTGTTACCGTCTTTTTTTTTTAGGGAAACGGACTAAATATGTTTAGGTTTAAAATTGGAGCTTTGAAATTTCATTGCGGTGATCAGTAAATAGCATAGCACAGCCTTATAAAATGTATAATTGAAATATATGGAGTTGGTTATGAATTAAAAGGGATCATAAATTCCATAACCAACAACTGTATATCTTCAACATGACCCAGAGAATAAAGCAACAGTCAACTGAAATATAGAAAGTTGCATTACAGAAATTACAACACAATGCTTTCACTTTGCCTCCAGAAAATATTCTTTTCTCAATGTTGAAGTCAGATGAATTGGGAGGTGTGTGAAGAATCTATAAAAATTGCCCATTAGATAAGTAAACATTTCTTCATGCTTAATTAGTTATGTCAATTTACAAGGTTAATTTTAAAATTTCATCACAAAAATATAGCTAAGTATGGGTAAATTTTGTAATGAAAATATATTTTGTTTCAGAAGTAGCGAGCCATCAAAGAAGAGATTAAAAATTATATTTATCAACTCTGAAGCGACACACTAATGAAATTTGATTAATTCAACTAATGGATAGAACGACGTTAGAGTTGTCGAATTTACCTGTACATTCACAATATTGAAAGGGCAGTTAAATTAACTACTGAAGCTTCACAAATTGTATATGGACAATAAGTAAGGCACAAGTACATTATTACTAAATTATTGTAACATCGAATAAGACCATCATTTACTTCAAAGGAAAATTATACTGAACAATTTAGTACATTAATTAACAGGGCAGTAATTTTAGTTCGATTTTCAATAAACAATGTAAATTTAAAACATTTTGTTTTCTAATTTGCGTATCATTGTGTCATATACATTTTTATTTATGTTTTGTTTTTATTAATTATGACTTAACAAATGGTGTAAGATCTTATTCATCCTTTTTTGTAATCTTCACATAGAATACAGTAAAAAATTGCATATTTTGCTTGTGGTGATTTATAATTAGAATTCTGGTTTGAATATATTTTCCGTTCAATGGATCTAATACAAAATATAGCAACTTTATTTGAATTTATTCTTGAAATAGTAAAATTTTGACGTCGGTCTCTAAATAAAAACCCGCAGAAATTAACTATTTCTGCATATTCTTTTGACGAGATTTAAAACTAAATGCTCAAAAATTGATAAAAGTTATTAATCTAATATTTGATACAAGTACTTAGCATAGCAAACACAGAGTGCAATGTTAATTTTTCAAAGAAATTGAAAAATCAACCTGCCTTAAGTGACAGCTGTGTGATACGACAAATAATAGAGAGTAAACAAGTTTTATGTTCCTAGCGTTAGATGCTAGCTAAAAGAAATCTGAAGAGTATGTATTTAGTTTGTCTATAATCGACTAATTTGAAGCGCTAGAGTGGCTACAAGTATTCTTGCTCTGCTTTAAGGACTCACTCAGATAAACTTTTGTCAACTCCTGTCACAGATCAAAAATATAATTCTCCAAAACAGCCCCTTAATAAATATGTA